TTTTTTTCCCTATTAATAGAACGGTGATCCGCGTACGCGGGCCACCGGGAGCGATACGATCCTGGCTGATACTATTTTCGTATCTTTCGCCGACGAGTCGCACGCCGCCGCTTCCACTCTCCTCGTGCGCCGACGACTCCGGCTCTCTTCCGCCGGACGGATTACTCCAAAAGTAGGCCTGTTACGATGTCACGCCCCCACCTTCTGGTTGACAATGGTGAACCGGCTGGTCCGCGATACCCGATGAAATCGCCTATGATTACACAGCTGGCAACTTGATCTTTAAAGTTGTAGAATATGACGATACACAGGAAATTAGGGATTCTTATCTTTCACATTTATATGTATTATAGTAATTATGCAAATTGCATGCGATTATGATGTGATTGATGTGTTCGTTTTAATTTTTCAAATTAATATAAAGATCTCTATAGTTGATTTAATTCCTAATCTTATAAAAAATATCCTTTTGCGAGTATCTTTTTCAGCATATTTATTTAAGATTTCAACTAAATCAAATTAACTTTCATTATAATCACATTGATTGATTCTATATTGAAAAAGATGAAAATTTTTAAGTATTGTATTTGATTTCGTTAGCATAGATAACTTTCAACAGACGTTAAAATGTATCAGTTACTTCATTGCTCTTTGTGAGGCATATTTATCACAAAAAAAAGAATGCGAAAACATTTCGCTAGGAAAAATAAGGACAGGATCCTGTTTTGAGCGACAAAATAGGAGCCACGATAAGCAAACATGGACTGGAATTTGGATGAAAGATGCGGACAAGTTGTCTAAATTGTAAAAAGAAAGAGGTTGCCTTTATCAGCATCAATGTTGCTGCTATCGTTACTGTTGAAAGCTTCAGCTCGAATCGCGAGGTGTCTCCTTATATGGAGGGAGACGAATGTGAGAGACCGCGATGATGTGGTATAAAGTTCCCGCAAATGCGAATACGATTCTGCAGTGTGTCGCTCCGAAATCACTTCTCGAAAATTTAATGCAAAACCGTCCATAGGAAATGGAACACGATGCGTTTGTGTGATTCATCAGAGCTTGTGCGTGTTATGTCAAACATTTTTTTTATAGTGAGTATATTTTTTTTATAGTGAGCTTATCTACATATTTGCGGTATTGAAACAGAGCAACAGCAGTGCGGTAAAGTGCTACTAAAAATTTCTAAAAATAACCGAATGATAAAAATCTATTTTTTATATTCTGTATATCGCTTTATTAATGTATTGAAATAATAAATAAAAAGATAGGAATGAAAAATAGAGAGAGAGTACATAGAAAGAGAGTACATAGAAAATAACATAGTACAAAAATTAAGGTAGAGATTATTTATCTTCTCGATTTTAAAATATTAGATACAATCGGTCGTTTGAATGGCCTATCCTTTCCTCCAAATCTCAATTGTCCTGATTCCTTTTTACCACCAAAACCACCTCCTATAAAAGATCAATAATTATATACAAAATCTCTGATATATATCTACTATGATTACAGACATTATCTTTGATATATGATATTGATTATATACCAAGTCTCCTTGGCTTCCATCCTTTCAAAGTACGACTGCATTCGTGATCAATAAATATTTTTTGTCCTTGTAACGTAGCATCGACGGTTCGTCTCATTACCCTTCTAACTTCCTCTTCGCTCCTCATTTCCACAAAGCCATATCCTTGAGAGAGTCCAGTCACTACATCTACTATCACTTTTGCCGAAATGACATCTCCATACTTGTCAAAAAACTAAATAACAATGATTTAAAGTTTAGAAATAGTTTATAACAAAATATGTAATATATAAAATTGTTAAATATATTATTTTACAAAGTTAACATTACCTCTTTCAGATCATGTTTGGTGATCTTAGACCCAAGCCTAGCTACAAATATAGTTCTTTCTGGTTTAGATTCCAGATTATGTGGTGGCTCATAATGCTTCAACATTGCTCTACTAATTGCTTTGTCGTGAGGTTGCGTGTCTGTTCCATCGATACTACCAGCTTTTAAGGGATCATATTCTCTGGCGTAAGGACTCCAATTTTGCCGTACGTCTTCGTCCTAAATCGTAATCAATCATATTGTGTTTATTTAAAACATATAAATTATTTTCACTCAATATTAATTTAAGAATTATATATTATTATTAAATAACATTTAGAATGCAAAATTATTGTATAACCTAAAAATCTTATTCTTGTGCAGTATAATAATATCAACTGGTATTTAATCTGTCAATTTAGTCTCATTAATAAAAAACAAAAATACTTACCATATTAAATGTATTTACGAGATCGAAAACGCATTTAAATATTTAATAAATAAACGTTTTGTAAATGAAATGTAAACAAAGTGAATTTAAAACGTCGACTCTATCCATAAAGATCGAACTACGTAGCCATGTCTATGAATTTGCCCAGAGTAGATAACATAGTTTCGGTTCTGTTCCGTGCTGCATTTGCAAAATATAAACATTCGTATTCGTAAATATTAATTAATTTAATAGATAAAAAGTAATTTTTAATAAGTTATTTTATTATTTTGCTTTAAAATTATAAATAGAATTGTATAATAATTTCAGCTAACAAATATTTTCAATTATATCACACGCTATTAATTAATTTATCAAATAGATGCATTATAAATATATAATTCATTTGTCGTGATCACAATAATACTTTAAATCATGCAAATGAGACGAATGAGATAAATTCGAATCGTAGATAAATCGAGAGGAGCAAACGGGCATAGCTAAATATATGTACAGGGTGATTCACTCTATTCGAACAGATCGTACTCACCTTCACGATAGGAAGAAAAGAGTTATGGGAAGTTTAAATTACTTAAGAAATAAATTACGTAAGAAGAATTTAGATATTGTGATTTCATTTTTCTTTCCAAGTTTTTTCTTCGTCGAGATACGATTCATTCGTATGACTTCTACATAAGCAAATTCGTTCATTTCTGTGATTGAAAAATTCATTCAAAAGTAAAACACATGTATATATAATGTAGTATTTTTTCAGAAAATATATATATATATATATATACAGTATACATATAATATGTACATATAATATATAATTGTAAATATGACATATCAAACGAATTCAAATTGAATCCATGTAAAGCAGCCTGCGGGAAAGATACATGCTCGCATAATTGCAATTTGTCGATGCTGAAGAATTATCCGCCTAATTGCGCACAATATTCAAATGGGTTTCGTATGGTAATCATTATTCCGCGCAACAATGGGGAAACGTTATTTCTCGCAGCTGAGTGATCACATCGGAATTGCAAGCCAATCGTTCCGTTTCAATAAACATTATATCCGTTCTCTTTTACTCGTTTGTCACGAATCCTATAACTAGAATTCAACGTGCGCGTTGAACGAACGGTGCAAAATAATGCAAGGTGTATATACCGGAAGTATACCGGACGTCACGGTCATCAAGTCTGAATGACGTCGTTACAATGATCGATACTAGATCAAGTCGAAGTCTAAACGCGCGCCCATTCGCTTTAATGCCAAGATTGTATTAACGGCCTTAACCCATCGCTTCTTAATGACATAGCGTTTCAATCGGTGCTTCTGTATCGGGTTCTCCAGAGCGGCTTCCAGCCAACGATGTTCTATGAGCTTTCCCGCAGACGGTCTTTTCCTACAGCAAGAAAATCAATCAGTTCTCTAATCTATTCGTGGAGAATAATACGGGTCAAATAAGCGGAAACTTTCCTCTACAGTATTACGATTTATATTAAATGTCAAATATGAACAGGCTATTTAACAAGAAACATGTGTGCGTGGATGTGTACACTTCAGCTCTCTTGCAACTTTCGTGGTAATGTGTAACTTAGTAAAAAATTGAAACTTAGTTTATATTACATCTCTTGTAATTAATATTATAATACACTACTTGATATATTTATAATATAATAATACATTATTCAAATTATTAATAAATAATAGTTTATATTAAATATAAGAGTTCTTCTGGAAAATTGTTGTTTGTAGGGAAAGAATTTTTTTAAACTTAGAATAATTACGCTACTTTTGTTATTAAAAGCGTCTTGATAGATTTATTAGTTTGCGAGGGATCAAGTTGAATCGTTCGATAGATATTTTGATAAAGATTAGTTCTGATGCGTATAAAAATATTTATTTGATTGAGGGTGTGCCGATGGTGCTACAGCAGAAGCTCTCGAGAATTTTGCTTGGAAATTACGAGACATAAACCATAAATTTAAAACTCGACTTTATCAGCAATTCATAAACTTTTCAGTCGCTCATCTCGCAGTTCTTCATTTATGTAAAGTCATCTGTATTATTCATATTTAACTTTCCGTGTAGCGTAGAAGTATTCATCAGAGTTGTATCTGTTTCGAATTTAATTTTTTAACGCTGAGCCGCTCGGGCGTCGCTTGGAAAAGAAAAATTTTTACGGATCAAAGGAAGAAAGAAAGATTGTCACGTATTTTCCTAATCCGCCCACGACCGATCCAGGAATCATTCCCCGCATGTACGGACTGGACGTCCGTATTGTTCAACGATATATCGATGGCGATGTGGACGACGCGACGTCGGGAGACTTCGCTTCCTGCTGCTTCGACTGGAAGTACTCCGCCAATGAGTTCATCGTCCTCCTAGCGATCACGTCGGCCGCGCACCAATCCAAGCTCACGGACTTTCTGCTGGCGCCGATGCCACTGCCGCTGCCGCCGCCGCCGCCGCCACCGCTGACGCAGGACGTCGTGGTGGCCTCTTCCCATTCGCCCAGCAGATGTAACAGCAGGTCCTTGGTGCTACCTGGCTCGTCCAGATTCAGATTCTTGTGCAGGTCCCGCAGGTTCGATATCCGCGGCACATCCCTGCTAGTCTCACCGAAGGATCGTTTCACCCGCGACTGGCGCCACGGAGGCGTCAAGTCCATTTCCCCGTCCTCCTTGTTGGCGAACGATCTCTTGCTGATTCTCTCCCCGTTGAACTTCTCCTCGGCGATTGTCGGCGATCGTTCGAGGGAGTACTTTCGCGAATCCCTACGTCTCTCGGACGTGTCGCCGTCGCCGATGCTCGTTCGCCTCAGGGCCACCGAATTACCGAGATTAGTGTCGAGGTTGTACCTATCGAAACTACGGCTACTATGAAAGGTCGTCCCGTTGAGTTTTCGCTGCCGTGTGATGCTGGACAGTTTTTCCGTGATTTCGTTGGTCTCTTTATCGACGTGAGACGCAGACACTTTAACGTTGCTCTTCGAGTAGATATCGCAATTATTTCTGACATCGCCGGGTCTCTTCGCGGAACTTCGCTGCGCTTCTGTGCCGCCGCTGTCTCCATCATTCATTCGCGACCCCATGGCGATCGAGCGTAGGTGCTCGGACAACTTAATGATCTCTTCAGCCAAGGCAATCTGACTGGCAGGATCGCGACGATTTCGCAATGCCGTACCTTCGGAGGCTCTCCTTTCCAAGGATAAGCTGAGACTTGGCACGGACAAAAGATAACTGGAATTATCTTTCGCGGTAGAGTCCATCACCCTCTCTGATTGCGTGCTACTGCTACGAAGACTGTCACAAGGAGAGGGACTGTGACCTCTCAGAGACATGGACTCGTTGCGATCGCGAAGCGGATTCCTTGGTAACGCGTGATACGAGTCGATGATGTACGGACTGTCCGGATGTTCCCGCCAACGCTCGACGAACAGTCTGAGATTGTCCTTGGTCACGTCCAGTTCCTCTCTATCATCGACGACGCTTATGACAGGACGATTCTCGAAGAAGGCCGTCCTTTTGGCCGCCGCCAATTCCGCGACTTCCTTCTCGCTTCTGGTCTTGCTCGTTTTTCGGGCCAACCAGCGATGCTCCCGACATTGCGCCGCCGTCATTCGCTTTCTGAAAGATTCGAAAGGCTCGTCGTGAGGAGGGTCGTGCTCTAGGGTCCCAGGCTTGATAGTGCGTTTCCCTTGTCGCATGGAGAACACGCGTGATTCCGCGGTCCGAGGGCGAAATAGTTAGGAAATATGAACAGGTGAAGAACACGACGACAACGCGAGCTCGAATATCGTACAAATGTGTGCGTGTGTTGCTTATGTGTCCGAAAGCAAGATTTTCGATGACAAATTATCCGACGGGGCTTTATACATGTACCGATGTTGTTGGCTTGACATTTGGACGCTCTCGAGATAACGAAGTCGTTTCTTGAATGTAACGGTAGTAAAATGAGTAGTTGCTACACGACATCGGGGCAACGTACATTTTACAAAAGTTAACACAAAAATTGATTTTCATGCGCTTAATCACAAGATGGAACCGCATATTTTCTCATCAGCAGCCTGTCAAACGTATCGATATTAATACATTAAAGTCGAACGTTGTAGATTAAGATGACAATGGAGGATAGCCTAGCCGCATATGATGAACGCAGGTCACTTGTGAGCCATACACACACCTTTACAACGAGTGAAATTTGATCAGCGTGCCAAGAGGAATTTGTTAATAACAACAGACACATGGAACATAAAAATACAAGAATACTAAAGAAAAGCAGGAAACCGAAAAGACGAAAGGAGCAAGGAGGCAAAGAGAAATATACACGAAACAATACATATACGTTACATGTGTATCCACGACAGAAATAGTACTTACTCCTTGTCTTTCACCAGAAGACATCTTATGAAATCTTTCGCGTCTTCCGAGATCTCCGCGAAGGCCTCGTGATCGAAATCGTATTTTGCGATAGTAACATTCGCCATTGTCTCTATATCCGTATCGCCCATGAACGGTGACAGACCGGACAATCTACAATAGTCAATTACATGGGGAATTTCAATTACGAGGCGTATCCTCCGGAAAGCATGTCTGTAGATATGCGGGAGCGTAACTTACAATACATAACAAATAACACCTATGCTCCATATATCAGTACCGAATCCAATTTGATCGAAGTTTACAACTTCTGGGGCAACGAACTCGGGCGTACCGAACAACACTTGCAGCTTCTTACTCGGATCGTATTCTCTCGCCAGACCAAAATCAATGATCTTAATTCTATTACCTTCCTTCGTCAGGCAGAGAATATTCTCAGGCTATACATGACACAGACATATGTAAGTTTTAAATAGCTATACAAATAATTATTATATAAATAAAACGAAAAAAAAAGAAATACGTCTATATATAATTATAAAATAAATATCATAAAATAATGACAGAAAGAAAATAGAAATATTTGCAAAGCGAATGATCGTTAAAGTAGCTAAATACTTCGTGCGCATCAACAATGAGACTCGACGACTCACTTTTAAATCGAGATGCAAAATCTTCTGACCATGCATAAATTCTATGCCCTCGCAAATTTGCCGCATAAAAACAGCGCAGCTGCGTTCCGTCAGCACGAAATCATCGTCTATCACTCTCTCAAAAAGCTCGCCGCCGTCGATCCTTAAATGATGGAAATTTAACTGTAATCCCGCAATGTGCGCCTTTCTAATTTTATGCTCCCTATGTCGCTGCCTCGCCCGCGAGAAAAAACGTACAATTCTAAGATGACATATATCTGTTTTCCCGCGTCAATTGCGTCGTACAGCTGAATCAACCGTGGATGCTGTAAGCGTCGCATGATGTCGACTTCTCTTTGCACGGTGCGTCTGTCCTCCTTCTTCATGACGTTCACCACTTTCGCGGCGAGCATCAAGCCGCTCGCCTTCTCCTTGCATCGATAAACAATTCCAAATTTTCCCCTGGAACAAACGGAGAAATTGAAGCTCAGCCGAAGGCGACCAGATCTCTTTTTATTCTATTTCGTAAAGATATAAGTTGAATTTACAGGATAAAAGTCGACTGTGCATGAATAAAAAATTGTGAAAATTGAATTAAATTTTCATTGATCAGAGTGCAGTTTAGTATACAAAATCACCCCACGATCCTTGGCACGCAGAGTTCTTGAGTAACAACAAGTTACGCGTAAAAAGTAATAAACATTGGAAGATCTGCCAAAACTATACATCCGCAGCATATCCCTGGCATGGTAGAATACAACATACTTGTCACGAGTCCAAGCCAGTGAATCGTTGAGTCAGCGTACTTTAGTTAACGGATGTCGGGCGCAATTAACACACTTATTAATTAAATTCTATTATTACACATTAATTATTGACACATTTCTACCCCCAAGAAAGCAAAAAACATCAATTAAAAGCTACTGTTTCTTTAAAGAAGGATGCTTGAATTTGAATCTTCTAGAGTAGTCCTTCAAGATTTCCCTTCAAAAGATTATCCCTTTATCCCTGCTATTGTTATTAATTTTGCATTTAATTTTTGAGCGACGCCGATGTCCCGAAAGAAGCAAAACGAGAATCCCGTGAAATCCAATTTCACGGAAAGAAGTGAAATTTTTCTCAGTTTATTTTCGCTCACGGGGCGCGGTTTATATTCCTCCGCGGGTTCGCCCACGCGATTTCGAAATCGTGAGCGTGGGGCAAGCGCTTCCATTGTCAAATCGCATTCCGACATTGGCGTGTCGGGCGAGTTCACCGCCGGTGTCAAGAGCACCGGCACGCCCAAACGTATGCTCGGAACGCCGTTTTGATGTGCGTACCGCTTCGCTGGGTCGAGAGACACGGATACTTATTTATAGACGTATCGTGGAATCCTCTCTTGATCGCCGGGAACGAGACCACGCGTGGTCTCGCCTTATCAGCTCGCGCCGCATTCCATGCACCTGACAGCGGCAGAGCACGTTCTTGTAATCCTGTCACCGCCATATGATTTCATGGAAACGGGCCAAGTGCTCTAATATCGGTTGTTTAGAGGATATTAGAGCACGCTCGACACTTGAGTTTCAAATGCAGACTTCGTCGAGAAGATATCTGTCGCCGGATATTTGTATATTTGGACCATCAGAAGTTGACGATCAGAATGAATAATTCTTTGATCCAACGTAAAGAGAGCAAGAAGAGGTCTGAGCGCATTTATCATTCCATGCTCTGTACATGGAAGGAACAATTTCGCTGAAGAACCAAAAGATTCAGTTAGATATAAATCTGAAAAATAATTTCGTTAAGCCATTAAAATTACTATGTAGGACAAGTATGAATTCACATTGCACAATTTTTTATATTCTAGCAACCAATTTGCTACATAATTATTTTGATGGCTCAGCAAAATAATTATTCTTCAAATCTGTATTTGACTAAATTTTTAGATCCTTCAACAGAACTGTTCTTTTCATGTATCTTTTACGATAGAAAAAGCGTGCATCGCAGAACGTGCTGTGATCGCATATCGGAAAAGTATTATAAAGGACCATTAATAATCGACTGCACCGATCTAATCTTCATTTTCGCGCATTAACTTCCAGGAAGTTCTCCTTTGATTGAGCCATGACGTTAAATGCCTGATCGCGTCGAGATTAATACACATCGATCGCGCGTGATCGACACGCCGTTGGCACGATGCACCGGCACCTATATGCGCATCCGCTGATCGACGGATTTAATCACTCACCGTCCGAGCTCCGATTGGATGTCATAATCGTCCTTGAACTCGACACCTCGGCGTATCGTCACATCTCTGTAGGGGAAACTGGGCTCGATCTCTGAAAACAGGCGTGCGCGATGAGGGTGAGAGGGACGGAATGCGCGAGGACGAGTAGGTGTTTGGCATTTGATTTTCATCGCTGTAAATCTCGTAGACGGGAGAAGAGCAGAAGAGAGCTTTGGGAATCGCGTGTCGCGTCTCAATGCCGCACGCGTTTCTCTTCGAGAGTTTTGGCGCCAACTCCTCGTCAAGACCTCGCGAATCCGTCGGCTACTTAGTATTCTTATTCTCCTCCCGTTGACGAGTTTCTCTTAATTTATTAGTTTTACTTCCTAGTAACATCTCTATTCTTTCTCCACAAGCACGATCTAATCCTTATTTTTTTATTATTATATATATATTACTTCTTTATAATTTTTTTTTATCAATTTACCTTTATTTATGGTATGTTGATATTTTCGTTTTTGAAATCCTCACTTTTGATTTCACACGAGAGGTGGAAGTATATTTTTAAATTTTTAATTCCAAATTCTAACGCTACGAATACAGGAAGAATATTTATTCGAAGCAGAGTAATCGCGAGAGATTTATCTCTTCATATCACCCGAATTTGTAGGAATTGCAATTTTGATTGATTGCAATTAATTTAATTCCGAAGATTAGATCGACTTATTGAACAACAATGATTATCTTTCCCGAAAATCGAGCATCGAGTTGCACCTATCGTGCGCTGACAGGCGCGCACGTTTCGCGTTTGCCGCGTTTCTCGATCGAAACATGCCCTCCCATTCCCTTGGCTGTTTTCCCAATTAAACTCATTTTTTTATCCATCTCTCTTACCTCCCACTGGGTCCGACTCGTCCACGCGAATCATGTTCCTCGAGCGATCTCACGACGAATCGGCCGTCGTCGTCGCCGCCGCCGAAGCTCTCTCGTCTCTTCGAGGAAGCAAAAAGATCTTTCTTCGCGATTTTTTTCCTCTCTCTCTCTTATCCCTTTTCTTAAAGGGTGCGAGAATAAGACCGCAGATAGCAAGGGGGTTTCGCGCGGATTTCACACTCGCGCGCGCGATCCCTCGATGGATCCGCCACAAGCTACGGGCGATTATGAACTATTTTACGGCGGCTGTTTCGTGTCGCGCGGGCCGAGACGGTGGTCTCTTCTTCTTCCCCGGCTCGGACGAATTTAGATTTTCGGCGGACGCCGCGAATTCTGCTGGTCGATCACGTGGCCCGTAACCCCAATGATCTCCAAGTGGGGATAAAATAGCTCTCTTTGCCATCTCTCTCTCTCTTTCTCTCTTTCCCATATCCGTTCTCCTCTTTATCTTCTCCCTTCACAGATGCTCCATGATTCCTAGCCCCAGCTATTGAGGCGTGAAACTCAGGACAAATTGCCCAATTGACATCACGATTATCGTTGTAATGAAGAATTGCAAGTAGTATCTGGAAAGAGAAAAAAAAAATATTGGATATACAGCTTAGAAATTGATTTCTGAAATTCAAATTCTGTCTGAAATAATTTTGTTTAGGACATGCCTGAAATAAATCTCCAGACTATCATTAATCTTTATCACGATATTAAATATTTGGTCTTCTTGTATTTCTTATATCTCTATCTTGCATCAGTGATGAATGCAGTGTTTTGATCAGTAAAAGTATTAACATCTTCTTTGAACAGTCGGCCTATCTATTTTCTTCCCAACCTGGTGATGATGAAACTTATATTCTAAATTTCATTCATTAGGGACTACGTCATTCTGCAAATTCTATCCTTCAGATATATAGGATGTTTTATCTTTTAATTTCAAGGGCATACTGTATGAGATAAAATAAGAAAAATAAGTTTTTCCCCTCTTTCTCTTTTTCCCTTCTTCTTCTTCTTGTTCTCTCTGAGTACGCAACGAAGATGACCTATTAAAAATTACAACAGAAAAAAATTGATATATTTTTATAAACTTTGCTTTAGATGATAATCAGTTATAAAAGCTATACATAAGAAAAACTTTGTGGTGCAATCTAGTTGATATAATGTACAAACCTCTTGGTCTCGTATAAACGGGAAAAAATGCTTCTTCTTCTTCTTATTCCTATTCTTGGCCGAAGCTGCCTTACGGCGCCAATGCAGGCCACGATTCAATTCGAAAAATGTATGAGCAGAATCAAAAAAGCGTGATGACGCAATACCAAAAAATTTTTGTGGAGACAAAGAACGTCCGAACCACTCAACGAGAAGGACTTAGGGAAAAAAATGCCTTTGCAAAATATATCAATGGATCCATAGGGTATATACGTAATTGACTCAATTACAGTCACGGCCTTCGGCGACCTAAATTCCGACAAGCACACGTATCGTTGTACGATGCCATCTAACGTACATGTATACACATTTGTTCACACATGCACAAATTTTCACATGCATAAACTTTTTGTATTATATTAAATGTCTAAGTTTAATTCTAAGAATTCAATGTTATTTCTTCATATAATTTACTTGTTTGAAAATACAAATTTGCTTGAAAGTACAGACTGCAAAATTTTTATATAAAGTAAATCGACACGATCGACAACTCTAAACGCCATATTAAAAGTCACAGCAAATGATAAAAAAATCTAAATTAAAAAATGTTTCTCGTTTTTGATACAAAATTTATATAATAAATACATATTAATAATGCATAAACTTTAATTATCGAAAAGGGTTTTCACATCTATAAAAGCAATACATGAGAAAAATTTTTACATTCTGTTGGTAATACAGACGAGTTTTGCATTTTCTTTTAATCATGCGTGTGCAAGAAGAAAAAAGATAGAGGAATTCGTCATTTTCAATGTTAGCTGAGCGTGCGCAAACGACGTGGATGTTCATGTTGCATGTGGTAGGTTTCCTAACCTCGCCGCCATAGCGATTTTTATCAGTAATGATTAGTTAATTAATTAATTAAAATAAATTTGTTAGATGTTGTTATTGTTATATCTTTTTTTCATTATTATATTATTTAGTAAATTGAATTTTTTGTTAGGCTCAAGAAGAAAATCTTTGCCGTTCCATTTGCTCCCTTCTGTGATTAAGTAAAATGATTTTATTAGAAAATATAATTTAAATCATCTCGTTGTTTTTGTCCGAGGAGCAGAATAAAAGTAATTTAAATTAATTATACTTGGTAAGTAGTTTTTATAGTTTGAGAGATTAGTTAAAAGTTTTAAAAGTCGTGATAATTAATTTATGTTTATATGTATTAAATGTACAATATGTATATATTAAATTTAAATTGTTTCAATTTAAAGAACAAGTTAGCTGAAATCTTCAGACAACATCAAAATGGGTCTAACAGGAGACCAAGGTAACGATAATGTTGCATTAGATCTTCAAAGCGGACATAGCAGTGATATTCAAAATAAGGAAAAGAAGCAGTTTAAGTGTGACTATCCTGATTGCCATGCTGTGTTTACACGATCTTTTACATTTAGAAATCATATACGAACACATACAGGAGAGGTAACAATTATAAGCATGAAACTAAAGTAATTATATACATATATAATTACTTCAATTCACTTTCAATTTGTATTTGATAATTAATATTTTTATCTTAGAGGCCTTACAAGTGTAATTATCCAGAATGTACAAAATCATATACATGTTCATCTCATTTAAAAAGGCATATGGAAACACACAACTGTATGAAAAAAGTATACAAGTATGTATATATATTGATAATATATATATTTTTAATTTATATAATACTGCTATATCATCCTATCAATTACAGATGTGTAAAATGTTCGATGATGTTCAGTTATTCTCATAATTTAAAACGTCATTATAAACGGAATCATAGTGAAAAGATCTGCAAGGAATGCGGCAAGACCTTTAATAAGAAAGATAAGTTTGTTAAACATCAAGCTATACATTCTGCATCTGAGATCTACAAGTGCGATAAATGTGGCAAAAGTTATCAAAATCGCAGTAGATTTAAAAGCCACTTGAAAATGCACGAGAAGCGTTATTCTTGTTCAATACCTGGATGTTCAGAGGAATTTGAGAACTGGAGTCTTCTCTGCAAGCATAAAACAAAACATGTAACAAGTATGTAATGCTATTATAAGTAAATCATAAAGACAAAAATTAAAGCAAATTTTTATTACAGATTATACATGTGACACTTGTGGCAAAGTTTTTCTTAATAACGTTAATTTGAAGCAACATTCTGCAATACATTTGGCTGACAGATTGATATTTCCATGCCCTTATAACGAGTGTCATAAATTTTATCGTACTAAATTTAATTTGCACAATCATGTCCGGATTAAGCATCTTGGAGAAAAATTTTATTGCAATATATGCACCATGGGACTTTCATCAAAGCAAAGGTTGAAGGAACATATTCAACATTATCACGAAGTCAAAGGAGAAGAAAGTCACGATCAAATCACGAAGAAAAAAAAGAATATACAGAAAAGAAAACGGAAAGATGCTGGTGTACCGAAGAAAAGCGTTCTATCTACTTTGATTGGATTGGACTTGCCACATGATTTAGAAAAAATGATGATGAACCGAGAAACAAAGATAAATGATACAAAATCGGAGATAGAAGACATTACAAAAAAAATAAATACTATAGATTTCTCTTGATTATCATTAAGAATATATATATATATATATATATATTTGACACAATAATCGTTTTATTTCGAAGTGTATATTTGACACAATAATCGTTTTATTTCGAAGTGTATAAACGTAATGATCTCTGACAAAATTGGATAAGAAATAAGGATTACGATGAAACGAAAATAATTTCATTATTCATGTAAAATATTAGATATGAAAGAATTGTTAACAAAATAAGTTATTACGATTATATGAGTTAATATTTTTATATTTTATATTTGTTTCCTTATACGTGATTTGAAGAATTTGAAATTCGCGCGTTAAAGATGTGTTGGGGGTGCGTTCCTTTATTCACTCCGAATACTGTCAGTACTAGGAATAGCGTTCCAATATAGGGTACGTTCCTTTATTCACTCCGAATACTGTCAATACTACGAATAGCATTCCGATATAGAGAGTAGCACTCCGAAAGTACTGCCTTGAATTCTATGACGTCATTGATTTTGACGTACTACCTGTTGCGGCTAC